GAGATTCAAATGTTCTGATACCCAAATTGGGTCTGCCAGGGTTCAAACTCATTTATTAAATTAAAATGTTCCAATCTTGTTCTAAGATGACACAACTTCTCCACCTGTGCATAGAAAGTAAGAAAAGAAAAGCTGGCACATTACTATTAAAGTATCTTGGAGACAACCTCACCTCTGAAACATTTAGCGTGAATTATCCATTGATTTCTATATATTGAATTGTGTTCTGAAATATGTATTGAATAATTTGAAGAAGAAAAATCTGGATCTTCAATATATTTTAAAAATTTCTGCCAAGTCTTATATTTTCCACACTCTGTTTCCCTCAGTCATTTTCTGCTGTTTTCAAGCTGTGTTTTGCCTTTGTGGTGTCCAACTCATAGTCTCTCTGTATATATTGGACAGCTTTCCCTAACAACAACAACAACAACAACAACAACAAAAGCCTCTGCCATCTAATAGATTTTAACTCACAGTGACTTTGTAGGACAGACAAGAGCTGCCTCTTTCCATTTCCAAACCTTTCAATCTTTCAAAGGCTGCAGAGTGACAGATGGGCTTGAATCACTAACAGTATGATTGACAGCTTAATGTATAACCAACTAGCCACCATGCGTCCAAATACAGGTTTCCTTCTCAAAACTCAGTGCCATGAAGCCAATGATGACTCATAGTGATCTGCTGTGAGTTTGTGAGAATGTAACTGTTTGCAAGAGTAGAAAGCCCAGTCTTTCTCCAATAGAAGTACTTGTGGTTTTGAACTGCTGACCATGCTGATCATAAGTCAATGTGTAACCATTACATCACCAGGGCTCCTAACAGCTTCCCTTGCAAATCCCTTAGTAACCAATTCTTTATCAAATATTTCTTGCCTCTTTTATCTTACCTCAAGATTTGTGCATCTGAATTATTCTCATATTTTAAAATATGGTGATTAATTAATAAATTGGCTGAAATTAATAGCTGAAATATAGTAGAACACCTTATCTAAGAAACAGGAGCTAAAACTGTCTATCCTATGCGACTTTGGGAATCAGTGCCCCAAAGAGAGCCCGAGACAGGCCTACAAAGCAAGACACCAAGAAAAAAAATGTTGTTGTTGGGCTGTGCAATGGAATGAAAGGAACATGCATAGCTAATGATGTTATGTTCCAATCAAGTTCATCAAGTCTGCAAATCATGAAGTTGGATTTTGCATATAAAAGACCTACGCTTTTAACTATGACTTTGCAGATGTATTTAATCCTTCTTTATGGAAATCTGCTGCTATCATTTGGTGGCCCTGCTGATATTATTTGATAAGCACTGGAATGCTCTCCCACCAGGTTGGCATCAAAACTACAAGCTGCTCTCCGGAGACTTCACATTGCCATTGAGTCTGCTCCACCTCAAAGTGACCCTACAGGACAGCATCCCAACTGCTCTGTGGGTTTCTGCGACTGTAACTCTTATTTATTTTTTTAA